AGAAGCGACGAGCATTTACCCGAGGTTCACATCTGTGCGGGTGGTGCCGCAGTGGATCCACACGAAAATCCATGCAGCCGCACCACCCGCAGAGAAATGCGAACCCGCGGGTGGGTGCCATTACTTCTAATGGCATGCTGCCGCACTGGAAAACGCAACTGTACTGGGAACCGAGGTTCCCGTGCAGGCTTCATTTTCCAATGAAGTGCAGGGACTAACAGGCACGGGAGTCAATTCAAATGAATCGTCTCTCATGCCCGTGCAAAACGCGGCCCGCACAGCCGCATATATGTGAACTGGGGGTTAGCCATTTGCCCTTCAGAAGATTTACCTCCCTTCCTGACCAGGCCATTTTTTGTGTTACGGCGCTTCGTTACTTTAACTGACAATTGCACGGTCATGCAACGCTGCGCCTAAATTAAATTTATTGTTTTTTTTTCCCCCACAAATAGAGCTTTCTTTCGGTGGTATTTGATCACCTGGGCAGTTTTTATTTTTTGCGCTATGAGAAAAAAACAAAAGGCTGACAATTTTGAGAATAACAAACAATATTTTTGACTTTTTGCTATTAAACATGTTCAGTAAAAAAATAAAATAAAAAAAATCTAATTTAGGCCAACATGTATTCTGCTACTTTTCTTTGCTAAAAAAAACTCCAATGCATGTTTTCATTTTAAGTTTTACTAGTAATGGTGGCGATCCGCGACTTATAGTGGGACTTCGGGGGGCATTCTGACACTGGGGGGGGGGGGGGTGACTTAGTGTCAGTAACATCCCCACTGACACCAATACAGTAATCAGTGCTAATAAAAAGCACTGACACTGTACTAATGACACTAGGCAGGAAAGGGTTAACATGTGTAGCGATCAAGGGTTAACTGTGTGCTGTTTTACTAGTGGCTGTGTGTTAGTGCTTCACTGTAAGCACACGGCTTTGCATGGCTGTTCTATGCACAGCCATGCCAAGCAGTGTACACGAGCTGACAGGGAGGAGTATTGTTTGTTTACAAACAGTTCCCCCCCCCGTTGGAGATGCTCAGCAATCACCGGGTGCCCACGAGTAATCACTGGCCGGGACCCGGTGATTGGCAGCCGCGAATGGCGGCGCAGGTAGGGCGCGCTCACGCCCCCTACCTGAAAATGCAAAATCACGTATATATACGCGATTTTGAGCACCCCTGCCGCCCTGTAGTAGTATATCTGCTATAGGACGGCGGGAATGCGATTAATAAAATCCGGTATTGCTGGTTGTAAACAAACCCTCACTGGTTTGAAAAAAGCATCAGATCATACCGATCTTAGTGTGATCCAAAGCTTTTAAAGGCAGAGACGAAATCTGGGTTCTAATAGACTCCAGATTTCTCTGTAAAGAGTACCTGTCACTGCCTATTTATATCACGAGGATATTTACATTCCCTGTTATAACAATAAAAGTGATTTTTTAAAAAAAAAAAAAAAGAGAGACTAGTGTAAAATTGAAAGAAATAATAATAAAAATTTTTTTTTTTTTAAAAAGCACCCCGTCCTCCCGTGCTTATGCACAAAGGCAAACGCAAGCGTCGGTCCTGCATGCATATGTAAACAGCGATTGCACCACAAGTGAGGTATCACTGCGAACACCAGATCGAGAGAAATATTTCTAGCATCATATCTTCTGTGTAGATCTAAAGTGTAAAGTAGTAGTGCACCGAAATGAACATTCTGGTGCCGAAAATGAAAGTTCAGGATGCACTTGGCCGAAAACCGAAACAGACAGTTTTTACAGCTTTTAAAAAATATAATTACTGTGGCTGGCAATTTTGCATTGAAGTAACTAGGAGGCGTTTTTGCATTGAAGTCTCCGAAGCGCAACTTTGCCTGAACGTCTCCGAGACACAACTTTGCATTGAAGTCACTAGAGAGCATTTTTGCCTGAAAGTCCACGGGACGCAACCTTGCCTGAAAGTCCACGGGACGCAACCTTGCCTGAAAGTCCACGGGACGCAACCTTGCCTGAAAGTCCACGGGACGCAACCTTGCCTGAAAGTCCACGGGAAAGTCGCAACCTTGCCTGAAAGTCCACGGGACGCAACATTGCATTGAAGTCACCATAGGGTGTTTTTGCATGAAAATCTATGAGATACAATTTTGCACTGAAGTCACTAGAGAGCGTTTTTGCATGAAAGTCTATGAGACGTGACTTTACATGTATTGGCACCTTTTTTCCTATCGGTAAAATTCAGATAACACTATTTTCAGCCTTCGATACATCGGTGCATTCCTAGTGTAAAGGCGTTGCCTATGGATAATAAAATTTGAGTAGTTTGCCTCTGTTGCATGAGCATGTGCAATTTTAAACATTTTATTACCACGCTTAGCCGAATGACAGCTACACCCCGGTAGTCCAGTTCTGGGAGGGTGTTATATGACGTCCTCTTAGAACGTGCCTCCAGCGGCGCGCACCCGGCGCTGTCTGGGATCACTGTGTCCTTTGGACACAACTGATCACATGACATGTTAAAAGGCCAATCACAGCGGCCTTTTGTCACATGATCAGTTGTGTACAATCATAGCTGACCACTATGTAAATACATTTTAGTGGCAGTACTTTTCTAATCCTGTGATGTGATGCTCATGATGTGCCTGAGGAAAGTACTACTGGTGACCAGCAACCTTCAAATCAGACATCTGCACTGATTATCAGGGCCCCGTTTATCAGTGCAGCCCCAAAAGTGCCCAGCAGTGCTACCAATCTGTGCCTCTCAGTGCTAGCTCTCAGTGCCTGTCATTGCTGCCTCTCAGTGCCCATCATTGCTGCCTATCAGTTCCACCAGTCAATGACCTTCAGAGCTACCTATCAGTGCCTCCTCATCAATGCCCACCAGAGCCACCTAATCAGTGCCCATCAGTGCTGCCTATCAGTGCAGCCTCATCAACGCACATCAGTGAAGGAGAAAAATTACCTGCTTGCAAAATGTTATAATAGAAACTAAGAAAAAACTTTGTTTTTCAAAATTTTCAGTCTTTTTTCATTTATATTGCAATAAATAAAACACCCAGTGGTGATTAAATACCACCAAAAGAAAGCTCTATTTGTGTGAAAAAACAATGATAAAAATTTCATGTGGGTACAGTGTTGCATGACCGCGCAATTGTCAAAGTGCAACACCGCTGAAAGCTGAAAATTGGCCTGGGCAGGAAGGGGGTAAAAGTGCCCGGTAGGCAAGGGGTTAAAGTATGACATGTTTGGTATCTATTTACTTGGCGTTACATCATCTTTTATATTTTACCAAACAACTGTGCAACCTTTTGTGTATTAAAATGCATCTTTGCCAAAAAAAATTGCAGTTGAAAAAAAAACCGCTGTGCAAATGTAATGTGACATAAAAGATTGCAACACCCACCAATGTATTCTCTAGTCTAGGGCCTCTGGCTGCTCTTTATATGACAATTCCTCAATTGAAAACCAGGGGCGCTCATGTATTCCTCCACGCACTACTTCGCTTCCGTCTGGGGCGCATGAACCTCTGCGCGCATGCGCATATTGCGGGTCCTGCACACTCCAGAGATATCCCTCCGCCAGTCAGTCAGTCAGTGAGCGGGAGACGGAGAGATGTATCCTGCCCGCTGGATGTGTCCTCCGCTGGCTGCTCTCGTTAGTATTTGGATAGATATAATACAATGTAGATTGTAATTCCTGACTACGGTGACTGTCATTGATTTCTTTACCGCCGTCGCTACTACAGCTGTCCTCATACACTTCCGGCCCCTCTGGGGAATTCTGTGGCAGCCGATATGCCCCTCCCCCTAGTTCTGTATCCAGGGGGTCCCGCACATGCCGTCTACTTACCTTGTCAGTCGCTCCTGGAGCCGCTGTACGGTAAACACTTAGCAAGAACTCCCGCTCGTGAAGCCAGGCAAAGGTACACCTCCAGATAGGCCAATCACAGAGTGTCTTTTAGTGAGGTTGAGCAAAGCGAGTTGCTATTAGCTAAAGTCCCGTCGTGACGCGTCTGGTGTGCGTCTTTCCGCGCCCCCTCCTGGGCGTGGCGCCGGGGAGCGCCGTCCTCCACACTTCCTGTGCCGGGGACCAGTGCGCGTGTCTCTTGCTTGGAGGCCGGAGAGCGGGCGTCATGGTGAGAGAACCTTGTGTGTTATTGTGTGGGGAGGACTGGCTGTGTGTTATCGGAACCCGGGCACCATGGTTGTGTTATCGGGGGGCTGCAGTGAAGGGAGAGCTGGCTGACCCAGGCCTTGTATCCGAGAGCAGATATGAATGATTGGGGCACGGGGTGCAGCTACAAGTACCTGGTTGCACAGAGCATGCTGGGAAATGTACACCGCAGCCAGCTGATCTGGGGACCTTACACTCCATACATGGCTGGCTATGGACTGCAGTGTACTCGGGGCATGCTGGGCTATTGTCAGCTGGGGGCTGTGTGCCTCAGACAGCCATTTATATGTCTCATTGCAGCCTATGGAATATAAAGCTGCACAAGGCATGCTGGGAAATATATACAGAGAGGACCGGTGTGCTTTGCAGCTCAGGCATTTTACATGACCTATTAACCACTTGCCCTCCAGAGAATTTACCCCCCCCCCCCCCCCAATCTTCCTGACAAGGCCATTTTTTGTGTTACAGCACTGCGTTCCTTTAACTGACAATTGCGCGGTCATGCAACGCCGCACCCAAATGAAACATATGTCCTTTTTTTCCCCTCAAATAGCTTTCTTGTGGTATTTTATCCCTGTATGTTTTTTTTATTTTCTGCTCTATAAACAAAAAAAGACCCAACAATTTATTAGCAAAAAGTAAAACTTTTTTTTTTTCTCAAAACAATAAAAAAAATAAAAAATTTAATTTAAATCTAGGCCAAAATGTATTCTGCTACATGTCTTTGCTAAAGAAAATCCCAAAACATGTAAATTGGTTTACATGAACGTTATAGCGTCTACAAATGGCGGTGTGTATATACTGGAACTTTTTTTTCTTATATTAGTAATGACGGCGATCAGCGACTTATAGCGGGACTGCGGCGGGCATTCTGACACTGGGGGGGGGATTGACTGCCACTGACATCCCCAGTGACACTAATACAGTGATCAGTGCTAATAATACGCTGTAATAATGACACTGGGCAGGAAGGGGTTAACATGTGGGGCCATCAAAGGGTTAACTGTTGTTTTACATTGTGTGCTGTGTGTGTTTTACTAGGGAGACATGCTGCTTTGTATTTGTCGTTTGTGCAGAGAAATACAAAGCAGCATTTCCTTGCTGACAGGAGAGAGACCTGTGTTGTTTACACACTCTCTCCCGTCAGCTTTCACTGATGACTGCTGTCCAGGACCCGGTGAATGTTATCCCCATTGGAAGATTTCCTCTGTATTACATTTCTAAAGACAACCTAAAATGTGGGGGATTTTTATTTACTTTCAATTATAATGACAAACAAGACAAATAGTGGGTGAATGTCCCAAAGGGCCTCTATGCTTGGAAACTGATGTACAGATTTCACTTGCAGAAACATAAGTTTACATCAGTTTTCATGCACGCCTCAATAAGTTTTATACATGTTGCAGATTCCTGTGTAGAAAAAAATCTGCAGGAGATACTAGTGTTGCGGAGTAAACAGGGCACACAACAGTTTATTTAGTTGTGCCCTTGCAAAATGCGTGCAGAAAAACTGACGTCTCTGCACCATGGTGTGAATGAGCCCTAAAGGACACGGCAACAATACCTGACAGGTGTTCTAATCCCTCTGCATTCTATCCCAAACTAGAAAAAAGTTTTATCTTCATTTCTACTTGAAAGCGAAACTTCAAGTAGAACTATAGGTAAAACCTTTTTTTTTCTTCATTTTGGATAGAGCAAGTAGAGGGTTATAACCCCTGTCACCTTTATTTTGCCCTCCGTGTCCCCATTGATAAGATTTACCTTTTTTTTTTTTTTTTTTTCTTCTGTCCTATAGCCAAAGCAGGAAAATCCCAGCAAATTTAAGTGTAACCAAAAGCAACATTTTTTTTGGATATAGTAATAGAGCGTTATAACCCTTTCATTTTTTTTTGCCATCTGTGTTCTTATTGCAGGGATTTCCTTTCATTCCTGTCCTTTAGCCTCAGCTAAGAGGAAATTCCTGCGTTAAAGTGTAAGCAAACCAAAACTTTATATATATATATAGATATAGATAGATAGCGCAAGGGAGGGTTTTAATCCTTGTCATTATATTTATTTTTGCAATCTGTGTCCCCATTGGGGAGATATCCTTTTACTTCCTGTCCCATTGCCAAATAAGGAAATGAGAGGAAATCCTTACAAGTTAAAGGCAAAACTTTTTTTTTTGATAGAATAAGAGAGGATTATAGCCTTTGTTTTTTTTGTTTTTATTTTTTGCTATCTGTGCTCTTATTGAAAATATTTCCATTCACTTTCTGTCCCATAACCAAAACAGGAAGCAAGCAGATATTCTTCCATAGTGAGCGAAACCCTGGTTGTCATCAGAATTAGTGTCCCCATTGGATGATTTCACCTGTCTTGTTCTGGTGACAACCCAGAATTTAAGATTTTCTCTTGCTGTTGGTGATAATAGGTAAACATGACAAAGAGGGTGAATCTCACTAATGAGGACCCAGACAGCAATACAAACCTGACAGGTGTCCTAACCCCTCTCCGCTCTGTCCTAAAAGAAAAAAAATTGCCTTTAGTGAAACTTTAAGGGAATTCCTTGAGACCCCCAGGTCACCAGAACTAGCGTTCCCATGGAAGGTTTCTCCTCCTTTTCTGGGACCCCACAAATTTAAGGATTTTCTTTAACTGTCATTCAGCATGTTGGGCTGTAGAGAAATGCAGCACGTGTGCTTTGTTCCACAACACGATCATGGCTGCATAGTGGTGTGAAGTAGGCACATAGAAAATGGTATGACCTGCATTGATCAGGTGCAGAAAAAGTCATGTATCTGCATATAATGTGAACGTGCCCTGAAACAAAAGTTTGTCGCCGATTGATTTTGATCTTTTTAGTTACTTAGCCTGTATAGTGACTGCATGTCAGGAACAAAGAACATGCTGGGATGAAGGTAGCAATTTAGCTTTTATAGTGTCTTGAACATTCTTTTTTTGATGTGGGAGGAAGTAGGTAATGGCTGAAATCAATGTTGCTTTTTTATTTTATTTTTTTGCTGCTTGTGTTCTACTGGGGTGATTTCCCTTCACTTCCTGTTCAGGAGATACAACAGGACGAGAGTAGGTATCTTCAAAGTGAGGTAATCCGCTCTTAGGCCAGGGCTGGGCATATCCCAGGAGCCAATGAGCCTTAAATATTACATATGGTGCCTAACAATTGAGATTTTCTCTAGTTGTTACCGGAGCTGGCTCCTTAATAATCCTACTGGTGTTTGAATTCTTTATTCTTCCACCCCTGGAATAGACAGCTTTCATAGAAACGGCCATTCTGATTGGTAAACCTTTGCTCTGTTCTTGCTTCGGTGACCACTATACCATTTTGGATTTCCCCTCACTTTCCTAGTGATCATGATTATCTGTACAAATAGGTGAACCTCCCCAGAAAAGAATCAAAATAAGACTGACAGGAGCTGTGAATTTCCACATTCTATCAAACTGAAATAATGTTTTTGCTTTGGATACTTATTAACCTCCCTGGCGGTATTCCCGAGTGTAGCTCGGGGTAAAGTTTCAGTACCACAAGCGGTAACCCCAAGCTACACTCGGGCTTACCATGTGGCACTGATTTGTTCTTCACTTACCTTGTCCTGCGCTCCCGCAATGTCCCTCCTGCAGTGTCCCCGGCAATGTCCTCCGGCGGATGCCGGCATCTGTTATCTGGGTTCCATCCCCTGCGACATCGGGATGTACGGGGGACGGAACTGGCGGGACATTTGAAAATGACAAGAAGTGACATTCACTAAATACACTAAAATCACATAGTAAAACTTTCTGTATCAAACCATTTCACATACATTTTGTCCCGAGTGCTTTGTCCTGTGCCCTGCCTGCATTTTTGCTGTTCTTTCTGCCTGGAAACTGAGAAACGTCCATGGCGTCCAAAAAGCGTCCCTTTAGGTCAAAAGCGGTTTTAGACCGGCTAGAGAACAGCGATAGTAAATTAAACCACTTGCAGAATTGAGTGATAATGATTCGTGGGGAAATTCCTCATCAGACACTGAAAACGATTTTGCGACTTTGCTCAGTGATGTGCGAACTTGGCGCTATAGTTTAAATTTCAGTGTATTTGATTATATTGAATTAAATTTATTATTATTATATTATTTTTCATGATTATTAAGTTATAATTTATGATTTTGTGTTTCAAATTTTAACATACCCGGGATGTTTACTAGACTCTTGTTCGGACAGATTTCAGTGCGTTATTCCTAAAAATTACAGGCCTACGATAAAAAAACATATTTCCATGCAAAAAAATGTACCGCTTTGAGCACAGAAATATGGACATAATCAGACCGCTAGGGAGGTTAATGGAACCAGGTTAGGACTTTGCTATGAGAGCTGCCATTGGGGGCTTGTCAATGGAGACACAAGCTCCAGGTTGTTGAATCCTGTTATTGCCTTAGTAGCTGATTTATAAATACCATGTCGCTGCTTTTAGAAGAAAATAGGTCCTAGAACATTTATAAACCAAAGTGATCTTTGCATATGTAGATAGTATTTCTTTCCGTGCAATGCACTATGATGTAAACTATGAGCAGCTGCTGTCACCAAGCACAAAATCTTTCTCCAGTTGGATGTATGTGATGAATATGGAAATATATTTGGTGTAGCGCTACCAGACTTCACCTTCATAAAGGTGACGCCAAAAAACAAAAATGAATGTGTATTATAGTGCACCTCCCTTGCTAAAAATGGTGCATCTAATCAATATGTGAATCCTTCTCTAATGCAGTGTGATGTGCGTGTTCTTTATAAAGCTTTATTATCACTGTACTACAGAACACCTTCCATGTGAAGATACATAATCATATATAAATATACATATATTAGCAATGTGTGTCCACAATGAAGAAAAAGCAAAATGATGCCCCATTGTTTTAATGAATGGGAGAAAATGTGTGGAAGAAAGTACTGTATAGTTGATCATGTGACCTGTCAGTCATATGATGGAGCTTTCACAGAGTGCTCTCTGCAGCCTTATGCAAAGAACACTCTGAAGGACCCCACAGGCTCCACACCTTACCCTGTGATTTCAGCCAGGTTATAATTCCTCTGCAGAATATGGGAAAATCACCCTGTAGCTTGGCCCAGCCTTTTTCAACCAGGGTCTCCTCTGGGTTCTTCAGGGGTGCCTTAGCAAAACACCTAAAAACTGTTCCAAATTGCCCCCAAATTGTCCATAAGGCAGCAAGTGGTTCAAGCCTGATTTTTTTTTTTTTTCCATTATACGAAGTCACATGTTTTTATTGTGCAGCATTACAACCAGCTGCCAGTGTCCTAATAACCAATGACTTCATGGGATAAGGCACACGTTGGGTGCTCCTTGTTTGCCCCTCTCTGTGAGCACTCTGGGGTCACGTTTGCTGAGTGAAGGAGAGAGAAGCTAGAATACTAGTCAGTGGCAGTGTGAGAAGGTATATTTGCTTTCTTAAAGTAAACCTCTAATGCTGGATGTCCTACCTGTGTGGATATTGCTTTATGTGAAACTGTTGAATCAAAATTGTGCAGAACTTAAAGTGGGCCATGATTGAAAAAAAAGGTTGAGATACATTGCTTTAACCCTATGATCTGATATGGTGTGGAGGCATCTTATGGATACCTGTTTGCTATGGGACTACAATTTATACCCTGCTAAACGGGAAGTTCTGTGACCTGGAGGCATGTAGTCTCGAGTACCATGTGGTATTAAAGTACCCTCACCTTGTAAAACATCCCATTCAGTTTAAAATAGAAGTGAAAGGCAAAACGTTTGTGTATAGATATAAAAAAAATTGTGAACATTTTTTTTTCCTTTTTTATAAGAAATCACATACCCTCTGTTCTTCGCTGCATAAGAGCTAGGGGAGGAGGAACAGCAGTACGCTGAACGTCCCAGTGAATGGCTGTGCAGGGGAGTGTCAGCACATGTCTGGTCATTGGAGGAGAGCAGCCTGAGTTCTTAGCACAGCTTGAGAACTGACCATGCTGCACTCTCATGCCCAGTGTGGTCAGTTTTTAATAGGAAAGCAGAAGGACTGACAGGAACACTAGGGATTTCACCCTAAGGAAGCAATACAGAGAACAGGATACTTTTTTCAAACAAGTACATAGTATAGCAGGCACATATCAGGAATTTGAAATGTTGGGGTTACATATTCTTTAAGCTGTTAATAAG